CATCAATGGAAATCAAATTTATTAACCAATGGAGGCCTGGATTTGGAGCCACACACAAAATTAAAGTGAAATGTTCCCTTTATTTTTTTGAGCAGTATATTTTTAATATAATGTAAAAAGTTAAATGAAAAATTTGCAGAACGTGGCAATTTTTTAAATCCGATTAATTGCCAGAACAATCGATTAATCAAATAATCGTTAGCTGCAGCTCTAGATTAAATGGTTTATAATCTGGAATTGAACAAATGTTCCCAGTCTGTTTATTTTCCATATCGTTAAATGTCCTTTAACTTTATTTGTCCAGGTATCGGCAGACTGAACCTTACAACACGAGGCAGAATGACGAGCAGGAGGAGGATGAAGAAGAGTGTGAGGAGGAAGAGGATGGAAGGGAAATGGAGACAGAAGAAACCAAAAGATGTGAGTTTTCACCTCCTTTCCTCTTAGTTTTTCCCAAACCGTGGATGAGTCCAGCTGAAGGTCCCGTTTTGCTTCTCAGGTTTGAATCCTTTCGCTAAAGAGTCGGGTTTGCCCGCGAAGCCGTCGTTGACGCCAGGTGAGTCCAGGACGCAGGCGACCACCAGCGTGTTGTCGCTGTTTGCTAACTTCAGACATGGTGAAGTACAACTCTTTGGTTAAAATTAAAAATAAATCAGTTTATTAAGCGACTTATCAAAGTTTTACATCTGCATTGCATCATGAAAACTAAAAAATATATCTTTACCCATTTATATGTTCATTTATCCATCCATCCGTTTATTCATCCATTTATCATCTATCTGTCCGTTTATCCGTCTGTCAACGTTCCTGAATCTTTGCTTCTTTCTGGTCCAGTTGGTCGAGTTGGAAGATCAAACCCGTTCAAGGTGAGAACCGCAGCCCGTTTCTACACCAGGTTATGTTTTATAGTGTAAATGTTAAACTGTGGGTTAAATCTGACGCGTTCAGGTCGCTGATTCTGGCAAGCCGACGTCTTCGTCTGGACAAGCTCGAGTGTCAAACATCCTGGACAACATGAGGTCCAGCAGGAAGTTGGCTCCGCTCAGCGGGTCAGCAGGGAAACCCAGCAAAGGCCCCGTCCTCAAGCCACTGGCTCCCAGAACCAAAGCCAAGGTAACTACGGCTGAAACGATTAACCGGATTAATCACGATTAATCGTGATTAATCGATTACTGATCAATTTATTAATCTTTTTCTAATATTGTTTAAGAAAGACTTGAATAAGCGTTTTTATTCAATTATTTGTCAGATGAATCAATAAATAAAAGAATCGATTAATCGTTACTAGTTGTCCAAAGGTGACATCATCATCTTTAAAATAAATATCTGCGACTTGTTGACATATCTATCTATTTAAATAATATGGATCATACTTTAGTGGTTTTTAGGACTTTAAACAGAAGTTATGACAGTTTTGATCTGTTTCAGCAAAACAGACGGTCTTCAATTTTTATTTCTTGTGCCTTTCTCCGACAGGCTCAGTCAACTTTGCTGCAGATCTCCAGCAACAAGACGGCCAATAAGAAAACTCTGGAGGCCGCGGAGCCTGCCGCAGATCTGCAGAAACAGCCTGACACTGCAGCGCCACCTGCAGAAAACACAGAGAATAAGAGGTGGAATATATAAAAAGAAGAGCAGATTAGTGAAACTTCTGCGTTTAAAAAACTAAATTAAGAAACTCTCTTTGTCTTCAGGCCAAAAACGGGCTTCCAGCTGTGGCTGGATGAGAACCGGAAGATCATAATCGCCGATAATCCGGATCTGGACGAGACGGACGTCATCAAAGAGGCGATGGGACGATTCAGGACGCTGTCGGCAGACGAGAGACTGGTACAAAAATATTAATTCAATTCATCCGTAACCTCAACACCTGCGCCGCTGTCCTGCAGGGGGAGATAAATATTCCTAACAGTTGGTGTCATGATATGGGGTTACATCGTTTCTGGATGGTTTTATATGGCATCAGTGATTTCTGTTATCTGGAGAACAAAAAGCAGCTCCCTGTTTTAGTGACCCAAACTATAATTAGCTAAGGTTAGCTAAAATGTTGCCAGTAGCATGTGGGCTATCGCTAACATTTTGACTAACATTAATTCACTTCATTCATTATGCTAAACTTGGCTATTTTATTAAAATTAACTAAAATGCTAATTCTAGCTATAATGCTAACGTAGCGTGAGGGTTATCAGAAGCATGCTGACTCATTATTGGCCACAAAGTTTTTACTAAGTTGCACCTGCATCTGCTTTTGAATTAAGTTTGTCTTTCTTTTTACTATTAAGTGCCACCCTCAACATGCTTACATGCAAGTCAAAGTATTTGAACTCTGACTTGTACGTTACTGTCATCATGACAGCTAAGGGTTCAAAGGAAAGTGAAAATCATGATTATTAAAAGATTAAAGCATTTGTATACGATGAAGCAGCGGCCAAAATTGCCATTTCCAAATTTATTTTTGAAATGAATTTATTTCAAATGTTGAGTTTTTTGGACGGTGTCGCCGTCGGTCAGTAAGGTGGAAAAACGAGGGCAGCTGTGTCACAAATGAGTCGCTTCACCTTTTCATCTTCCTGCTCCTGACCCTGCATACATCATGTCTGTCAGCGGGAAACGGGATCATTCAGAACAGAAAGCGAAGAGGAGGTGGAGAGGAGGATGAAGAGGGTCGTTGCCTGGGAACTCGATGATCCTGTGATGATGCTTTCAGCTGGTTGACATTCAGGAGAGGAGACAACATTTCTTTTTATCTGCTATTTTGTATTTTAGGGGTTTCTTGGATTTGGATACTTTAAATTTACTGATGTAAAAAAATAACCAGACACTTGCATTGGATCCCCTTGACCAGCAGGGGGCGTTCAGAGCAGCAGTGCACTATTATTCTACAAACCTTAACAAATTTATCTGGTTTAAACAAACGGATAAAAACAAGAAAGATCCTCAGAAAGTCTGGAAGTCAAATAAATTACATTTGCTTTAAAACTTTATTATATTTACTGAATTTTACGGCTATAAGTAGCAAATCCTCATTTTTATTTCTGGTGTATTTTCCAGGTTTCTATGCTTTTGTCTGGAAAACTATAGAATCTGGTTTCAATTCCAGATCTGGATGACTGTTGAAAAATATTTTAATTCTAGACTTTATTCCTGATCTATTTATCCGTCCATCCATCCATACTTACTTATTTACACAATTTCACACTTTCACTGTTATGGCAGGTAGAAACAAAATCAGCTTCTTTTACTTTTATTGAACTTTTTATTTTACCAGGGAAATGTTTAAAATTCAAAATTTAAAATTAAAATCTGAATTCATCGTAAAATTAAGTATTATCTGAAAGTTTTATTGAAAATCAAACATGAAGTGAAAAAACGACATTTGATGTTTGATGATGACATCTGTGACCCTGAGGTCAGATTAGCAACAATCCACTGCTTTTCATGTCACACTGGTTTGTTACTGTTAATGGCAGCTGCTGGAGGTGTGTGTGTGTGTGTGTGTGTGTGTGAACACTCAGCGGCCTGATGATTCATCCCAGATCTATTACGTCTAGGAAAACGCTTCCTTTTGTCTCTGAGAGGAGAGAGAAAAAATAAAATCACGAGGGGGAAGAGAGACGCCGCCTGTCAATAGTGATTAAACATGACAGGATGCAATTTCTAGCCGCACGCCTGAGTGTCCGTGTGCGGCGTTAGTCATCGCCGTGCAGGTGTTCGCCGCCCGCGTTGGACGATGAGCAGCAATCTCTGGGTTCTTGTCCCGAACTGCAATTAACGTGAGCGTCTTTGTGTCTTCTGTTCCAGTTGTGGACAGAAAGGGCGAAAGGACAAAGTGGAGACGCTGCAGACGTGAAGAAAAGAAAGAGAGCAGAAAACAAAGCGGTGGAGAGCGATGAAAGTAACGCCAGGAAGAAGTCGTCGTCCCTGGATCCGTCCTCCAAGCTGTCTGCGTTCGCATTCAGCAAAAACTGAATATCTTATTCATGAAAAATGTGGAAAAAGATGTTGTTTTAAGAGTTATCTGTTTCTGTGTTGGATCAAAAGGTCATCATGCTCCGTCAGAGATGATGACAATCTGGTTCTTTTTTATATTCAATTTGTAAAAACATTTCTGTATTTTAGCAATTTAATAAATATTAAAATTCAGATTTAGTATGAAGTAATGGTATTTTTTGATGCAAATCAACAGTGCCTTTTGGAAAATATCCAACATTTTAAATTTGCCACATTTTTGGACTTCAATTTGTGTCTTAACTGCTTCTAAAAATACCAAAAAATTAACCACCCCCCTCCCCACAAAAGCCAGTTTTTGGCAATAAATTACTGTTTTTTGGTGTCTGGAATATGAGCCCTTTCAAAAACATTTGGAATGCAGCATCACAAATCAGCTGCGTCGTTACCTAGCAACTCCTGCCTGTTGCCTAGCAACTGGTCCTGACCTGTTGCCAGGTTCTGAATGTGCATCAGGAGAATTTCTGCGGGGGGGAGAGAAAAATTCTGATTTCCTAGAAAAAAATCTGAAATTTTCAAAAAGAATTTTTTTTTTTTAGTTTAGTTTAAAACGCCAAAAATTTGCTCGAAAAAACTAACATTCTGAGATTAATCTCCAACATTTACTAGAAAATAATCAAGAAAATTTGATATTTTAGAAGTCAAAAAAATTATGGAAAAAAAACTCAAATTTTAGATTACTCTCCATTTTCTAGAAAAAAAACTTGGAAATTTCCCCTTGAAAAGATAAAAATTTGTTTGGAAAGATTAATCTCCAACATCTAGAATAAATAACATTTTAGGTTTTAAAAGTCATTATAAAAAGTGACAAATGCTGAGTTTCACAAAGCAAAGATTTATGACTTGAAACTGAAATTAGTTTTTTTTTGTTTGTTTTTCTAAGAACCTTAGTGATGACGAATGCGTTAGCTCCTCCCCCTCCTAATCTCCTCAGCCAATAGGATCGCTCCCTGGATTATCCGGCCATTATAAATCCGGTGCTGAAGCTGAGCGGTTCACTTTCTCAGCTGAGGTTCTGAGCTCGCATCTGGTAAAAAAAAAAAAAGAAAAGAAAAGAAACTGGTTCAACGGGCGGATCTTAAGGAAGCAGAAAGCGGGATGGAGCACTCTAAGAAGACGAAGTACAGCTCGGGAGACAGGAAGGACTCCCCCGCGGACGGCGGCGCCGTCCTCAACGGACACTTTGACGGGATGGTGAAGCGGCCGGCGGTCGCCTCGCCGGCGGCGGAGCCCGGCTCCCACAGGGCGACCAGCTCGGTGATGGAGAGCTGGAAGGAGGAGCGGACCCGCAGCCTGGAGGACAACGAGATGAGCCTTCCGTCGCTGGCCGCTGCCTACACCACCATCCTGCGGGGACTCGGGGAGGACCCGCAGCGGCAGGGGCTCCTGAAGACTCCCTGGAGAGCCGCCACCGCCATGCAGTTCTTCACCAAGGGATACCAGGAGAAAATTATCGGTGAGTTTGTTTTAAAACCCACAGAGAGGAGTCCGGGATTTGTCCTGCCAGGTGTGAAGCAGCAACAGGTGTGAAGCAGCTCTGAAAAACTCTTCAACTAGATAAAAAATCACTTAATATGTGAGATGCGTCATAATTTGGTCATTTTTGTTTTTCATGATCACTTAATGACCCATTTAGTGTTTGTGAGCAGAGATGGATGGAAGAGTGTGGAGCTAAAATGTGATCGAGTGCCCTATGGCATGCCGTTGTAACATAAAATCAACTGCACTTCAGTTCCACTTCAGGTGTTAATTGATTTATGGCTAAGGCAGACCGTTTTGACATATAATTTGAGAGATCTTAAATTATTCTGACTAGGATAAACGACGTCATAATTACCACTGATTTCTATGGAGACTTCAATTCAAGATATCTGAAACGTAAATTTAAAAAAATATACCATTAAATTATGTATAGTCATAAAGTAAATTTAAGATCTGACATTTTGTTCTGTCTAATCATAATTGTAATTAAATATAGCTTAAATATATTTTCAGACAGAAGATTCAGAGATTAGACAAGAGCAAATTAAATTCTAGTTATCTTAAAAGCAAAAAAATAAAAATAAAGATTGCTTTCAGTGTGAATCTGTCAGTAATGTGGGTTTAATTCAGTTAATAAGAGTTTAATAAAGTATAATGGACGTCCTCTTCCAAAAATGCTTCAGTTGACCTATGAGAGACTTTCCCCTGAATCAATGAAACGGTTGTTTGATTTGGGGGAAAAGCCTCTCAGCCATATAACACTAAACAAACTGGTCTGCTGAAACCCATCAGCGCAGCCTTGAGTTCCTGTTGTTAAAGCTGATTTTTATTTAAATGTACTCTCTATGCATTATGTAAAATGTGCTTAGTGCATTACAATAAATTCATGTCAAGTCTTGTGAAATAACAAAACTTGAGCAAAAGTCTGAGTTCTTAATCAGATTAGATGAATTTCAACCTAAATCCACCCTCTGCTCCATAATTACTTAGCTTTGTTTCTTTTGTGTTTTAATCCTTTTTCAGCTCGATTAAAACTACTGAACTCAAAGGATTGAGAAAAACATACAATTTTAACCACTTCACTCTGACGACTGAGTTACAAATGTTGGCATGAATGAGATGCAGTAAGATCCAGACTCCTGCTGTTTTCACACCTGATAATCTGGTAGATTCGGTTCGATCGGGGAACAAAACTGCAACATTTGCTACATTTTCAGCTGCTGCAGTTCTCAAAACGGACCCAGACCTTTTGACAAACCTGTTCCCCTCCTCGCCTGTGGGGGCGCTGCACCAAGAATCACTGAAGAAGACATTAAGCGCAACTTCCTTCTTCACGAAATGTAAACGAAACTGCCAAAATCTCGTCAGATTTTGGCGGTTGTAACATTTTTATTTTCTCTTTGGAAAAAGAGATATTTCTACAGAAAAGGATTAGGGCCACTGGGAAAATAAAAAATTCAGACTTTAATCTCAGGATTCTGAGATTAAAGTCAGAACTGTTTTTTTAAAAAAAAATCTTTTTCCAGTGGCCCTAATCCTCTTCTGTACATTTCTCCCATAGACTAGCGCGTTTGTTAGGCTTAATTTACCCAGAATTCCCTGGGCTGCAGTCCGCTTCCTGTTTTTGGAGCAGTCTCCGATTCGTTTGGCACCAGAGCTCAACCGAACCGAGACCGAGACCGAGGTTTGCAGACGGACCAGAGTTCGAACCGGACTTTCTAAACAAACTCTGACAGTATTTCCTCTTCCTACGTTTCCCAGAATGCTGTGCGGTTCTGGATTGGAGTTTAGTGAATAATTTATATTTTGAATATTCTATCAGATCTGATGTATTATCTATTGGTATTGATTGTCCATTGCAGTATATTTTGGTTTATTGTCCAGCTCTGGCTTAAACACTGCAAACACAAAATATTACCAGGTGGTTTTAGTCCCGTTTCTCGTCGAAATACCTGAAATAAAGCAAAACTAACTTACAAATAACATTTCAGAGGATATAAGAAGTTGTTTTAAGATAAATAATAATTTTATATTGATGGAAAACTTCTAGTTCCACTGGCAAAATAATAAAACATGTTTCCCATAATACAAGAACTTTTTCATCAACATTAATAAATTATTGACTTAAAACCAGCCCCTATGTCTTCCTTAAAAGCTACTTACTTTTGCCTTATTTCAAGTGTACTAAGATATTTGCACTAGGAACTGGACCAAAAACGTGGTAATATTTGGTGTTTTTGCAGAGTAACGGCATCGGGCCGGGGTTGTTGGGTCCAACTGGGAGGACTTCTCAGTGCTCTACGGAGTGGCTGGAGTTGGGGATCTGCCCCCTCACAGCCCCATCTGGACGTAGTTTTGCTGTCATGGGTGGGGGGTTGTTGTGTGTTTAGAAGCTATAAAGAAAGGAATGCGTTGGCTGGAAATATGCGCTGCAAGAAAAGCAGGTGATTCTTTTTTTTCCTGTCTCATGTCACCTGAAAGCCTGAAGCGGCTCTTGGACGGGTCAGAAGGTGATGCAGGTAATGATGGCTGCGTTTGTCCGCTGTCATCAAGATGGAGGCGGTGCACCTCCTTCCTGCTGATAGGCTGCGGCTGGAGCCTCCCCTCCTCTTGTTGGGAGGTAAAGAACAACTGAAAACACGCAAAGATGTTTCTGAAGATTGTTTTTATGTAAAACGTCACGTTCTGATGTTTGGTCAAAGGTTAAATCCTCCTGTTTCAGCTGCAGGACTTAAAGAGGAAAATTCAGCTAAAATAGAACAATACATAGAAAAATAAAAATATTCTAAATGCAAAATATTAATAAATTGCTCTGGATTTTACCAGATTAATGGTTTAATACGTTTCCTGACAAAACGTATTATTGGTGAGAAAATTAGAACAAAGTTTATTTTACTTCAGAATTTACATTTATGATCCTTCACTGCAAAAACATAAAATCTTACTAAGTATTTTGTGAAAATTTTTTAGTTTTGCCTTATTTCAAGCAAACTAACTTACAAGCAACTTTTCATTAAGACATCTGAGCTTGTTTTAACTCAATAACGCCTTAATATTTATTTTAAAAAGTAATGGAAAATTATTTAACTTATAAAATTGGACAAATTTATTAGTGAATTAATCTGCCAGTGGAACTAGTTTTTTCAGAAATATTAAGGATTTATTCACTTAAAACAAGCTCTTGTGTCTTTCCTAAAGTTATTTGTAAGTTAGTTTTCTTACACTAAGTGCACTTAAGTATTTGCACTGGAAACTCCACCAAAATATTTGGCAATATTTTGGAGGTTGTTTTGTTTTTTTTAGCAGTTTTGTGTGGTTTATCACATAAAATCCCAATAAAATGCATTTTGTTTGGTTTAATTTTAAAGTCCAAGATGTTTTTTGTTTTGTAGAATATTTGTAAAAAATAAAAATAATGAAGCAATTATCTTGCCAATAAATAAAAGGGGTTTCCCTCATTTCCACTAACACACTGGGAAGAACGCCTTTAGCTCTTATTTATGATTGTTTTTTACATTTATTTAAAATGAGAGATGAATGAAAAGTAAACATGTTTTTATATTCTTGTTCACAATAAGAACTTTAACATATTTAAAGCTTAGGTTAATCTGAGTCCTCTGTGTGTAAATATAGAGGAAGTTGGTGAGATTTGATGTTCAAACATCGGCTGTCGTCAGAGCGGATCGTTGACCCGGGACTGAATCTGTGACGCAATGACCAGACAGACTTCTGTTTGGTTCTGGCTGCTTGTTTGGACTTGCTGCCCTTCTCCGAAACAAATTTAGACCCAAGCAGACACTTCCCTGATTGGGTTACACCATTGCTAAAAATCTGAGTCATAAATGGAGCACATAAAACCCGACGTGTTTCGCTGTTTGAGCGGGAATGAATGGGAATGAATGGGTAATTGTTCCTGCTCCGTTCAGCTGGTGTTTGTCTGCTTGTGTGCAGCAGATGGCTGATTGTGAGTAACGCTCCCATTACCCGATAAACACCTTTTCTTTCCATCACCAACCTGACTGACGCCCACTTCAGAGTCATTTATCCAATCACCATTGACCTGACGCCATTTCCCCAGAGGACGCGAATCTGACTGAGACGCAACTTTCACCAACGAGTTAAAGACAAATAGTGCAGCAGATAATTTATTATTATTTCACATGCAGATACAAGATCATAACTTGGTGCATATGTTCCCAGAGGCTTGCTTTTGGGGGAAAAAAACAACCTTATCTACTGAAAAATTCAAGATGGTGGGCATTTTTCAAAATGGCTTCCATGGTATTCATAAAAACATTTTTGCACTAAAATTATCAATTTAAATGTGTTTGGTGTCAAATCATAATCTACATATTTTGATCAACAGAAATCAAAATTTCTTGAGCTTGTGCTTCATTTTTCTGGTGGACATTTTTCCAAAATGGCCGCTCTGCTTGTAATAGATTATATATGTCTGTAGTTGAATAGGCACAGCTAGCCAAAAAGTTAGCTTCACTAACCACTAATTAGCTAAAGAACTATCTTAGTTATGCTAACGCTAAACTCTTAAGCACTTAAAAATAAGCAGAAGTTAGCATTGAGCCACTAAACGCAAAAAAAAATTTAGCAGGAGGCTTACACTAAACCGCTAAGCTATTTTTTTTTTTAGTGCTAACCATTAAGACAACTGTCCCTCAATCTGTATCACACATTTTCATTTCCTTCCAGTTGACTGGAGTAAAACTACAAATGGTAAAATCCTCAGTTCCAGTGTTTCCATCTGGTTTTGCTGAAAATTATTTTAAAGTTTTATGAATAGGATGACCAAAGTCAAAACGTACAGTGACATTCGACCGCAAACCAAGATTTAAAATGAAAAGGCAAAAGCAAAGGATGTGGATTAGCAGTTTTTGCTAACAGCTGAGGACATTTGATTGTGAAATATTGTCTCTGCTACCCAGATCTTGAGCTGTTAGCATACAGCAACAGTCTTCTGTCAGAGGCCTCTTCAGAACTGTTGTAAAACTGACTGCTACTGGAGCTCCTTCCTGTCAGAACTGAAATCCTCATAAGAACAGGATAAAATAAGGTTTAGGAATTAAAACGTATTACTGGGAAATATCCTAAAAATTATAATTAAACAGTTAAATATAAACCTGTTTACCTGCTGTGCTGTTTACACTCAGAGAAAAGCATTGGAAAGTAAAGCAACAAGTCGGTGTCTTCTGTTTGTCTGACTTCACCTTTTCCAGTTCGCTCTGCCTCAAGCAGATATCCAGCCAGGAAATTAAAAAGAGCAGCGACGGTAGTGAGCTCCGCCTGTGTCGTCATGTATAGATAAAACTGTTTATTGAACAAAAAAACGCAATAAGCCGGCGCCGGGAAGGTGAAAACGGAGCCTTAATTAGACACCGATGTCTGTCGGAGAGAATAAACAACCTGCCAACAGAACCTGGGCTGATTTTTACAAATACCAAAAACAAAACCAAAGCTGATTAAACGTCTTCCTGATGTTTTGCCCCTGTTTGTCCACAGATGTGCTGAACGATGCGATCTTTGACGAAGACCACGACGAGATGGTGATCGTCAAAGACATCGACATGTTCTCCATGTGCGAGCACCACCTGGTGCCCATCTTTGGCCGGGTGAGCGGACAGCTGACACTCCAAACAGAAACATGAGGTTAGAAGAGCCTTTCTCCAGCGGTCTTTGGGTCAGAGAAGCCGTACGCTCCTGAGTAAAATAACCTGGCAGCCATGTTTCTGATCTGTAGGAGGAAGCTGGAGTACCCAGAGAGAACCCACTCATGTGCAGAGAGGGCATCAAACTCCATTTAGAAAAACCCTGAGTGGAGATTCAAACCCGTCATCTTCTTTTTGAAAACTAACAGTGCTACAAACCGTCCCATTGAGCCAAAACACTTCAAAATGGGAAAGGCAAGAAAACATGGCATCACATGAGGCAGGATGTCTAACGTTCAGTCAGGAAATGGACTTTCCTTCATAAATTTATTTGAAACCCCAGAACATTTTGGATAAAATCTGCTCTGTCAGATTTAAAGTCGTTTGGGTTGTGTAGGATGGTACAAGCGTGAGCCGCAAGGAAAAGTTAAAACATTAAAGGGGAACTAAATTAAAATTCACACTTCACATGTTTTAGTGATTTGCTTCAGATTTGGGTCTAAGCTGCTTCTGAAAAAAGCCCAAGTGCATAAAAAACACCCAGCCGTTTTCTAACAATCAGTTAATGCCGTTTGATGTCTGGAAAATGTTTCAAAAACCTCCCGATAAGTCACATTCCACAGGGACTGCCGTTGCCTAGCAAACCCCAGCAAAGCCCAACCCTGTTACCTAGCAACCCAAACTGAGCTCCAGCATGTTTGGTCAGCTGGTTTTACCATTGTATGCGCTGCACAATGGCTGCTGGAAAAGACAAGTGTCTAGTTGATTTACTATCCAAAGTTGATGTGTTCTTGTTGGATGTGCAGGAGGCTCCACTTCTGCTTTTCAAAGATGTACGGTTGTTTAATTGCTCATCTGTTTGCAGCCATTTTCCCGGCCGAGTGTAAACGTTGAGTTGGGGGGCGTGGCCAGAAGCGGTTTATTTGGATTTAAAGTGACAAGATGCCCTAAAAGAAGCTCATTTTCAAAGGAGCAGAATAAAATCTCATTATCTATGAATGATTTTGTGCAAAAATGTAATGAACATGTTCTGCGTAGCCCATAGACCTATCCTAACCTGGAAGAATAATAGTTCTCCTTTATAACATGGAGGTATGAGTGTCACTCTGGCTTCATGAATGGAAGCTGAGTTAGCGAGCTTTGCTTTAAGTGCAGAACAGAAAATCTTTCTCAAACAGAAACATCTGAGCAGATGCTAATCTTAACCCAACTCTGTGTTTGTCTGGAGGCCGCCGGTCTGAGCAGCACAGAACATGAGAAACAATCAGATTAGCTGAGATCTGTTTATCTTCAGCCTTCACATCATTACCGTCCACTAAACCCTGACGAAGCGCCTCATCCTCCGCTTCTTTCTGCTTTCCATCCCTCCATCTTCACCTGCTGCTCACAACAATGGCCGACTGCAGCTGATCCTTTTCTTTCCACTGCTGTCAATGGGGTCTGGTGACGGCTGGGAAGCGCATAAACACACATTTGTTCAAGTCTATAAAGCTCCTCATCCTTCACCCCATCATCATCAGCCGGCGCCACCGGGTTTTTTTTTTAGCCGTTTGAGGCGTTTTATTGCAGGTTGTCATTTGTTTGCAGTTAGCAAAGACATTTTATCACCTGTTCTAGGAGCAGGTGATAAACTTTGAGGTAACATTACACAAAAATAAGATACAGAATTAGGCACTAATTAGGATTAAGATGGAAGGAAAAAAAGTAAATTTCCTCAAAAAATCTTTGAAATTTTGTAGGAAAAACAAAAACATTCCTGAGTTTGAAAAGTTTAAAATTTGCTAGAAATTTAAAAAAAAAAAAAATTACACTTTTTTCTGGGGAAAAAAGTGTAATTTTTTCAAATTATTGTCTAGAAAATTTAAGAAGTTGAAAATCTGCTTGAAAAGACTCAGAAATTTAAAAAAAAAAATTCTAGACCATTTCTAAGATTTATTTAAAAAAATTCTGACTTTGAAAAGTTGCAAATTTACTAGAAAAACTCTAAAATTTCTGATTTCTAAAAAAATTTTTTTTGAAACTCCAAAAAATACTTTTAGAAAAAAACAAGAAATCTTCTGAGATTCTCAAAATTTCGCTTTTTTTTTTTCTAGCACAATTCCAAGATTTCAAACTCAAATTCCAGAGTTTTTGGCTGAATTTTCCTTCTGTTTCTTTGTTTACTACCAACAGTTATTGCTGTCGTTTTTGCTTTGCCCTTTGTTTTTTTTTTTTGCTAACTCTGAAAACATTTAGCGCGCTTTGCTTCCCCTGAATTAATTTTTCCAGATAAATTCTGACGCGTTTGTTTACTCAGCTGTTTTTGTAAATTTTAAGTTTTGAATCAACTGATAATTCTTCATAAAGTTAGACATTTCTATTCATGCTTTTATTTTGAAGACTGTCCATTTCCTGTCCTCACATTCTCTTTTAAAGAAACCTTAATGAGAAAATGTCAAGTATAGAAAAAACAAATGAATGAGATGTACAGAAAAATTGTGTGGTTTTCTGTTCATCCTTTTCCTAATTTCTAAGTTTATTTCAACCTGATCCGATCTAAACGTGGCTGAAAAGGAGCCTCGTCATCGTGTTTGTAAACATAAATAAATTGAGTGAAGTAGCATTTTGTTTGATGTTTATATCAGACCGCTGCAGCTGAGCGAAGGAAGAAGAAAGACGTGGAAAAGAGAGATCGCTGCATGGTTTTTGCCGCTGCCCTTTCTCCTCTCAGTCAACAAATTGCTTCTGACATTTAAGTGAAGCTCATTGCATGTTTGTGTGTTTGAGAGTCGGAGCCTGCGGCCGTTCACAGCGGCTCTCATGCGCCGACTCCGATTCTTTTGACTTTTCCACCGGATCTGGTCTCATCTGCAGCAATCATCGCTAATAACGGCAGTAATTCAACAGTAATTCCTATGAAATAATGACCAAATGGCTTTTATTAGTTTTATACATTTTACCTCTCAGTTCAGACTTGAATACAATGCTGAAGTTCATTTCCATGCTGAGAAATATGAAATCCCTTCTGATGGATTTTAAAATGATGTGTGGTGAGTTCAGTCTGCCTGCAATTTAAAAAAATTATAAATCTGAAATTATGGACAAATTGGAGTAGACATCATTTTTGCTCCAGTTCTGACCAGCAT